GAAAGTAGGTGGCAGTGATTTCACGTATGTGATTGGCAGGTCCTGGAAAGTGTGTCTTTTTCTCAACGCTCTTTTTCAATGGTCAGATTCTCTTGGGTCAAAACAAAAAAGGTCAAGATCTCTGGATCCTCCTGAAGGTCACAGTCATTCTGCAAAATGGGCCTGACATTGAGAAAATATAGATGTGTCCCCTATCATGGAGAAGCCTTTTCAGATATGAAAAGTTTGCAGGCTTTGGGTCTGAGAATAACCAAGATAAAACACTTCATAGGTTTCTCATCTATTGTGTAATTTAATCTTCAGCGCTAAATTGAGATTCTGAAACTGGGGGAGAGAGACGAACAACACTGGATATTCCGCATTATCCAGTTCTAGGTCACTCTCTGGGTCTGCCTTGGGGTAGTCCTTTGATTTGGGGGCAAGAAAACTTTTTACGCCTCAGCTTCCTCACCTATAGAGAAAAGAAGAAACCAACCACTTCTCAGTGTTGTTCTGAAGATGGGGTACAGTGATGGAAGGAAAACACCCAGGACAGTGCCTGGAAGACTACCAGGAGGGGCTGAGTGAATGTAGTTTCCCACCCTTACCCCTGGGTGGGTGTGGACCTGCCTCTGTGGTTGGGTTGCTTAAGGTTCAGCACTGTGCTGAAGCCCTAGACCCCTCTGAATCCCTCCTGTAAAGTAGATTCTACAGTCTCTACCTAACAGGCACTGAGTCGGAAGAGGGTGAAGGAGAGACATTCAAGAAGCACACTAGGTCTAGAACCTCGGAAAAGACCCAAGGAAATTAAGACTTAACCTGGTGTTTTAGACAAGTCCCAAGGTATTATTGCCCAAGAGGCACTGAGGCTAGTTTGAGAGAGAAAAACCTGTGTCCATGTTTTATAAGAAATTAAATCAGAATGTAGAAAAGCCCAATTCAGTTTCACCCAAATGAGTAGTAATAGTAACTCCATTCCTATTTAAAGCTAGAAAGTACAGCTTTAACAGCTAAAAGGAGGTTGCTGCGGACTGAGAATTACAGAAGGAACTCATTTGATAATCGGTACATTTGCATAGTCTGTTTTACTAGGCAGGATCTGGCCCAAACACAGCCAATTATCACACTTAAATTCTCCAGCATTCAAAGATCCTAGAATTAATATACTTGGTGCTGGGATTGTATATTCCACTGTCTGTTTGTTGATATACATGTAGGGCACATTTGCCAGGCAGGACACAACTCAGACAGTTGGCACACCTCACCTCTGTCTTGAATAGAAATAGGTCATCTTTCATTGGAGGAGAAAAATCAAGATAGACGATGGCTGCAGAAGTTGAATCTTTGGGAAAAGCACTGATAATTGTCAATGTGGGATGGGAGTGGCTGGGGGCTTTCTCTCCCTTCCTCTGACATGAACATCCACCAATGTGGATGTGTCTTTTTGACCCTCCCCAGAGGAGTTACATTTCATGGCTACACCTCTCCTTATTAGTCACGTTTCATAGCTAATCCTTCCTATGTCACTTTGGTGTTGCAAAGTACAAAATGTTGGACCAGTTTTCTCTTTGTAGTCTCATATGAAAACCAGGTGTCTTCAAATACATCTTGAAGATTAAGGCAGCCTGTGGTTCCTGGACACCAGCTGTAGAGCAAGTGGCCTATCAACCCAAAGTGAGAGCTACCTATTTCAGCTTTCCAGTATGAAGGCAAGTTGTCTGAATCGTGAAAGGGCAAGGAGTATTAACCTTAGGGCCAGAAGGATGGCAGCTCCTGGAAAGCAACTGAGGAGCAGAAAGACACTCAATAGAAGTGTAATTGAAGGATTTTTTTTTCTTTTCTCCTACACTTAAATAGTTTGCTTCGTGTTAACATGAATATTTTGCTCCCAACTCTGCAGCAGGGCCAGCTGTCTATGGGTGTGGACACCCATTGGAAGACAATCCAGTGACCAGCTGCTTGCCTTAGAATCTGCCTCCACTGTATTCTGAAATTTCCAACACCAGACTTGTCTTGGAGATTGGGGTAGTAGTAGCCTCAGAAGCAGCTGTTAAAATGCACAAATGCTAATTGGGACGTAGCACCCATTAGCACTGTCACAAAGATTGAATTATCAAAATAGCTATTTTAACTCTTCTGAGGCCATGGACTTTGGAATCTTTAAAAAGCCAAATCAAATGGGAACTTTAGAAAATATCTGGTCTAGATTTTATATTTGAGGAACTTGAGGCCCAGAGAGGTTAAGTGACTTATTCAAGGTCACCAGCAAATCAGTGGCAGAGATGGAGCTGCAGCCCAGGTTTCACCAGGTGCTTGTTCCTGGAATCTTCTAGTCTATAAGCCCTTTGTCTTGCAGATGAGAAAACCAAAGTTCACACATGAGAGGTAACTGGACAAGCCTGGACTCAAACTGAATTCCTCAGATTGTCTGTCCAATATCTATCACATTATCCCTTTTTTTCTTATTCCCATGGCTTTGGGGAGAGGATGAAATAAGAGGTGGTTGAACGTTTTGTGTCTTGGCATCTTCCATTAATCCATAAGTCAGCTTTGAGAGCCCACCATGTGCAAAGTTCTTCAGCCACTTTGGAGAGTAGACAATGAGCAAGGAAGGGGAAGAAAAGCTGAGTGGCCCATGTACCCTAAAAGTGGGGCAAATGTGGAATCACTGGACAGAAAGAGTCTGCCTAGGGAAGCTCAACAAAGTACAAAACATCCCAGGGCATGGGCCCTTCCTGCCTCCCTTTTTTCTCTCTCCTTACCCAGAGACCCTCCCCAATCACTCCCCAAGAGAAAATAAACCCTGATTCACTGTCATCGCCTTGGCCCTCTTCTCTGGACAGGAGATTGAAGGGTAGATTATAGGGCTGGCAAAGCAGGCTATGAGGAAACTGCAGTTCCCTGTGGCCTTTCTCTTATCAATCAGAAAGGACAGGGTCTGGCTAGCATTTTTCAGAGCATCCAATATGGACCAGGTCCATTTTTTCATAGGCAGTACATTTTTTTATTTTTTTTAATTTAAGTTCTGAGGTACAAGTGCAGAACATGTAGATTTGTTACATAGGTATATGTGTACCATGGTGGTTTGCTGCACCTATCAACCCATCACCTAAGTTTTTAAATTTTTTTTATTTATGCATTTTTTCTTTTTTCACGGAAAAGGGCAAGCAGGTTGTATTTCTGGCCAGGCATGGAAAAGGAGAGAGCACTTGCTCTAAAGACAGCTTCTCCCAGAGCAGTGGGAAGCTGGGGAATGTTACAGGGTTAGACGTGGGTCAGAGGCTATGTAAGCTTGTGTGGGGAAAAACTTCAGACACGCAGGTGCAGATCAAGAACACGTGTGCAGAAAGTGGCAGTGATTCTCTTCTATGGGTGGGAACTTTTACATTATAATGATATGCTAATGATCTAAATGTGACAGGGGCCACTGGTTCTGGTTTGCTCTGGTTTTGTGCAGGCCTTATCTTCCTCTGCAAAACGTCCTGAAGTTCCCAGGCCATCTGGAGTTTTTTTTTTTTTTTTTTTTAATACTTGAAGTTCTGGGATACATGTGCAGAACGTGCAGGTTTGTTACATAGGTATACACGTGCCATGGTAGTTTGCTGCACCCATCAAGCTGTCATCTACATTAGGTATTTCTCCTAATGCTATCCCTCCCCTATCCCCCCACCCCCAGACAGGCCCTGGTGTGTGATGTTTCTCTCCCTGTGTCCACATGTTCTCATTGTTCACCTCCCACTTATGAGTGAGAACATGCGGTATTTGGTTTTCTGTTCCTGTGTTACTTTGCTGAGAATGATGGTTTCCAGCTGTATCCATGTCCCTGCAAAGGACATGAACTCATCATTTTTTATAGCTGCATAATATTCCATGATGTATATATGCCACATTTTCTTTATCCAGTCTATCATTGATGGGCATTTGGGTTGGTTCCAAGTCTTTGCTATTGTGAACAGTGCTGTAATAAACATATATAGGCATGTGCCTGTATAGGAGAATAATTTATAAACCTTTGGGTATATACCCAGTAATGGGATTCCTGGGTCAAATGGTGTTTCTGGTTCTAGATCCTTGAGGAATCACCACCCTGTCTTCCACAATGGTTGAACTAATTTACACTCCCACCAACAGTGTAAAAGCGTTTCTATTTCTATTTCTCCACAGCCTTACCGGCATCTGTTGTTTCCTTTTTAATGATCACCATTCTAACTGGTGTGAGATGGCATCTCATTGTGGTTTTGATTTGCATTTCTCTAATGACCCGTGATGATGAGCTTTTTTTCATATGTTTATTGGCCACATAGCTCTTCTTTTGAGAAGTGTCTGTTCTTATCTTTTGCCCACTTTTTGATGGGGTTGTTTGTTTTTCTTGTAAATTTGTTTAAGCTCTTTGTAGATACTAGATATTAGCCTTTTGTCGGGTGGATAGATTGCAAACATTTTCTCCCATTCTGTAGGTTGCCTGTTTACTCTGACCCATCATCTAGGTTGTAAGCCCTGCATACATTAGATATTTGTAGAGAGTGTGTTTTACCACCAGTTCTTACAGCCAACTTGAGTGGTAATTATCAGCCCAATGTACAGGTGAGGGAATTAAGGGACAGAGAGGTGAGTTTTCTTGCTCGGAGTCACCAGGCTGGTAAAAGCAGTGCCAGACTTGGACTCAGGCCTCGTGCGTTGCTTGCGCAGGCTCTGCCCACTCACCCTCAGGCCCTCTCTGTGTCTTCAGGTAACTTCACAAGATGCAGAGCTTCCCACCATTCAACCTGTTAGTTAGCTCTGCTTTTTACCTGCCTTCTCTGAGAACATCTCCCATAATATGAGTTACAGAAAGGGCGCATTTTACTCTCTTAGGCCCTTTTCACCAATACAGAGCCCTGTGGTATTGACAACTGATCTCCCCTGGACAGGGCAAAGGGTGTGGAGGAGATGAAGGCCAGCCTCCTAGTGTGGAGTGGAGGGGGCTGAAAAGTCACATTTGGGAAATGGTTTTTTCCACTGATCCTTGGCTCTTATTGCAGGTCTGGAGTGCAGCTTTGACTTCCCCTGTGAGCTGGAATATTCCCCTCCACTGCATGACCTCAGGAACCAGAGCTGGTCCTGGCGCCGTGTTCCCTCCGAGGAGGCCTCCCAGATGGACTTGCTGGATGGGCCTGAGGCAGAACGTTCTAAGGAGATGCCCAGAGGTAAGGGAGAGACCACTGGTGATGTCGTGGGTGGGTCAGGGCCAGGCTGGAATGCCTGTTTCTGTTTGAATTGATGAGACTTCACCCCTGTTCTGCTCTGTTTCCGTTGAAACCTGCTTTTACTATCTGTGCCTTTCCATGGCTTCTTTGGCCATGCAAGGAAGGGAGGAAGACAAGTCCCATCTCAAGTTCAGCCCAACCCTTTATTCTTTAACAAGTAATAAAAGTAGGGTTTCATAACTCTCCTCCATGCAGATTTCCCTGTAAGACAAAGTGCTGATCGGTATTTGAAATGGGGTTGCCAGATAAAATACAAGATACCTCATTAAATTTGAATTTCAGATGAACAGCAAATGATTTTTTAGTATAAGTGTTTCTCATGCAATAGTTGGAATACACTTAAACTAAAAACTATTCCAATTATACAAAACAATTCAAATGTAATTGAGTGTCCTGCATTTTTATTTTTACTGCCAAATCTGGCAATCCTAATTTGGAAGGTATTGTAGAACTGGCTTAAATGTTTGTTTCAAAGCCATTCATAAATACTTAAGTGACATGTTTGCTTGGTGTGATGCTTTCTGTGGCCCTGAGCTGTTTATGAATGTCCTCTTCTTTATTATCAGGCCTAGGAAAGGTAGGCTCAGAGGAAAGTAGTGGGCAGTTGTTAAATTGTGCTGAGTTTCTTGGAGAGAGATGTGGAGGCAGTAAGCCCTGGTCTAATTTTATGTCTCACCAAGCCAAATCTTAGGGCTCCCAATGTCTTGAACCCAGAAAACTCTACTGACTCAGAATTGAAAGCCTATGTTCCTGGCTTTTAGGAAGAAGTAATAACTGAAATGGCAATGGGCTTATTGGACATTCAGGGTAGTTTTTTCAGTTTGCAAAGCACTCCCACCTACACTATCTCATTGGATTTCAATGAGAGAGGCAGGGCAGAGAAGAAAACTAGTGCTCAGAGAGGGTAAGTGACTTGTCCAACATCACACAACATGTACATGTGAGTCTGGGTCTAAATACCTGCTGTGATGAGTCCTAGACAAGGGTACTGTCCACCACATCATGCTTCTGTCTTTGTAGCAAGACCAGGACCAGAGCGTGCTCTGTGGCCAGGTTCTTGACAGAGATCATCTCAGGCTCATGCTGCTAGGGAGTCTAACAGGTCAGATCTGTTAAGCTGATGAGGGAGATTGAAGGTGGCACAAAAACAACTAATGCTCTCAGGCTTATACCTCAGTCTCTACCTTGTCATCAAAGAACCAAAAGAGACTTTCCTTTCTATACACTTTCCTGGGCTGACTTTTTGTCTTTATAACTCTTTTGGGATTGCTTGACCTTGACTTATATTTTAAGCTGCTTTTATCTGGATTTTGATAGGTATTGTAGTGTGTGTGTGTGTGTGTGTGTGTGTGTGTAGGTGAATGCTCTTAACTAGAAAGTGCATCAGAATTCTTCTGGAGAACTAATGGAAAACACTGCCTAGATCCTATAACCTGAGATTCTGATTCAGTAGATCTGAGATGGAGACTACGTATCTGTGTATTTTACATTTTTACTAGGAAATTTAGCAAAAAGTAGATATAATATGCATGCATAGATTAGAGATTACAACAAAACCAACAACACTTGCATTCTCACTGCCAAAAAGCTGAAGAATCTGAACATTATCAGTCTTTCTGGGGTTTCCTCTATCCCACCTAGATCACAAACTTTTCCTCACCCTCCAAGGTAACCACTCTCCTACATGTTGTGTGAATCACTTATTTGCTCTTTTTCATGGCTATACTACCTATGTATATAGCTCCAAACAACATATTGACTAGGTTTGCATGTTTTCAGCCTTGTATATAAATGGGATTATATTGTCTTTGATCTGTTCACTTTGATAGATGTAGCTGTGATTCATTTGCTTTTGGTACTATATTCATCCTTTGCATAAAAATACACAATTGATCTCTTCTACTGTCATTGAACATTTGAATTATTTCCAGGTTCTTGCTATCGCCATCAACACTATTGTAAACATCTTTGTACATCTCTCTTGGTACACATGTTCCAGATTTTATCTAGAACAGGGACCCCTAACCCCCAGGCTGCAGACTGGTACCTGTCCAAGGCCTGTTAGGAATGGGACGCATAGCTGGAGGTGAGTAGCAAGCGAGCCAGCATTACTGCCTGAGCTCTGCCTCCTGTCAGATCAGCTGCTGCATTAGATTCTTATAGGAATGTGAATCTTATTGTGCACTCTGCACACACACGGACTGTGCATGCAGGGGATCTAGGTTGAGTGCTTCTTATGAGAATCTAATGCCTGATGATCTGAGGTGGAACATTTTCATCCCAAAACCATCTGTGGAAAAAATGTCTTCCAAGAAACTAGTCCTTGGTGCTAAAAAGGTTGGGGACCATTGCTCTAGAGCATGTAACTAAGAGTGGAATTGCTGGGTGAGAGGGTCAGTGCATCTTCCATTTCACTGGTTAATGCCAGTCTATTTTCCAACGTGGTTGCACCAATTTGTACTCCCACTAGTGATATATTGGTATTCCTCCCCATGGCTTTACATCCTCATCAATATCTGCTATTGCCAGACTATATTTTTTTATCTGTCTGGCGAATGAAATACAGTATCCCATTGCAGCTTCAATTTTCATGGAAGTCTGTTTTGTTTTATTTTTCATAAGTTTCTTGGGTGATTCTGAGGCATAGCTGGGCTTGTAATACTGTTGACTTACTCTCATTCAGACTTACTCCCATTCAGCCACCCCAGGACTATCTCCAGAGTCCAACGTTTAACCTCTAGAAACAAGTATTTTTGGTCACTACAGATTTTTTAAAAATTTATATTCCAGGAGTGGAATTTTGATTACAGTTCAGTGAGATCAAGAGAGAGGGACAAGTGGAAATTTTGTTCTTCGTGAATTCCACTGATGGTACGCAGTTACACATTATAACTTTGAAAGTTTGTGCTTTAAAAAAAATTTTAAACAATGCCAATACATTGTGCATTTCACTTGGTGACCTGTTTCTCCTCTTCCACCTGTGATTGCTGACATGAGCACATTATACTGAGTGCTGTGAGAAAACAAAAAAGAAGGGGAAGAGGAGACAAGGAAGAAAATAAATAAATTTTTACTTCTCAGCATTCCTTAGCATGGAAACATATCAATGCCTTTTGTTTTTATGAAGCTGGATCCCAAAGGTCAGTGCACACACTGAATATGAAACTTTCCCATTAGATGAATCAGAATTGGAATATCCATTTGTTTAAAGTAAATGTTGTCAACTTCCATTGCTCTGAAAAGTCATCACTGTTAGCATCAGGTAGTAGTTAGCAATCCTAAGGATGGTGGTATGAACAACCATAGCAAAAGCTGCTGTGGGTACACCAGACTCCTTTACCAAGCTCTTTCATGAACGAGCACATCCAAACATAGCTTAAGAGAGGCTTACCACTGTCAGAAACTTCTAATTTTTCTGGGGTCTAATGGAGGGGTCTGTACTCACACAGCATGGATCAGTCATGGAAACAAGGAGATGAGCCTCCCAGCCCTCCCAGAAACTCCACTGCTTCAGTAATGACACTAAGAGGTGTTTGGAGCTTTCAGGAGTGGGTCATTCATCACTTTTCTAGTCAATTCTTTACACCACTACCTTTCCCTGAAGTAGCATTGTTCCTCATGAAGCAGCCTACTGTAATAAACTCCCTTGACCTTCAGGGAAAGAAGTGAAGGTAAAGGAAGAGAAAGCAACCTGTCCATTCGGCACAATGGCCAAGCAGGGTCCCATATTCCAATCCTAACTCCCAGAGCTTTCGAGTCTCAGTTTCTCGGTCATTTTGGCAGAAAGGGTGCTGGCGGTGATGATGAGAAGCGGGGATGGGTTGCCTTTAGTATGATGTAGTCACTATTTTGTTTTCTAACTCAATATTCATGGGTCAGAGAGTATTTAGATGCTATTGCAATATTTCTTGTCAGGTATAGAAGGGCCAGAAAAAGGCAGCAAGATGATACCAATCAAAGATAATGAACTGTAAGTGTATAAATCCTGAATGATTTTAATTTATGGCCCCTGTAGCTGAGAATAATAAGGAAGATACAATTCAGAGCAGCAAGATAATAAAAAGTGATCATTTTGATGGAACATAATATTATGAATGAATAAAATCTTGAAGAACCATCAGATCGAGGCATTCTGTGACTTTTTAAGAAGTGTCAGGGGCCATGTTGATGTCTAACTGCTTCCGGTGTTTTGGAATGTAGTCAAGGTATTTTTCTTCTCCAGCAAGGCAGGATTTTACTCTGTAGCACGAATCCTGGCTTAAAAATGGAAAACACACTCTCGCCCCATCCACAGAGCCCCGTCCCCAGCGCCTCACTCCCAGGCACACACAGGAAAGATGGAAGCAGACTCCACAGTGAGGAGGCTCCTATTCTTCCTGGATCGGCTCGACTCTCTCCCAGTGCTCCGACTCTCAGGGTTTTGCTTTGATTTGTTTTGTTTTGGTGGAGGGTCTGGATGCAGCACTGCTACTGAGGTTCTTCTATTCATCAAGATGGCTTCGTTTTCAAAAGGTGGTGAAACACCGTCCTGGAGCCCTGGAGTGGCTAAGGATGCTTTCACACATGACTAGGGTGTTGCAACACCAGGATGGGGTCATTCAAACTTTTGATGCACTCCTGTCGTACCCTTGTGTATTCGTTTCCTGTGGCTGTTTTAACACATTCTTACGAACCGGATGGCTTAAACAACAGAAATTCATTCTCTCCTCATTCTAGAAGTCAAGAGTATGAAATCAAGATGTCTGCAGGGTTAGTACCTTCCGGAGGCTGTGAAGGGAAATCCTTTCCATGCCCCACTCCTAGCTTCTGGTGTTGCCAGGAATCCTTGGCATTCCTTAGCTTGTAGATGTCTTACTCCAAACTCTTCCTCTGTCATCACATGGCATGCCTCCTGTGTCTCTGTCTGAAATCTGTGTCTTAATGGGACATATGTTATTAGA